AAAGGAAAAGTTCCAAAGGATAGAAGCTGGAAAGCTTGCAAGGTACCTAATTAATTTAATATTATTAAAACTATGTAATTTATATTCATTAAAATGCCAAATTATAATGTATACCTAATACCTATACCGGCTACACTTAAAATGTATTCAGTTATATAATAGAAGTATGATTTTTGAAATGAAAATACAATTCTAATTATCACATGAATAGGTAAAATAAAAACAACCCATTTTAAGTTTACAAATTAAAATTAATTATATATTATAATAAAATGAATTTAGTATAACATCTATAAAAATATAGAGTGTATTTATATATTTTTTTTACAAATTTCAATCTATTTTTATTACACATATAAAATATACATTATTCCTACTTAAGTAATAAATAGATCTATTTGGTAACCAACACTATTTTTAATGAGGTTTTATTGTTTCTTCATTGATAGCAAATGTTAAGTATTAATATTATCTACTAAACATAATATATAATTTATTTGTGTATATAACTAGGTAATGATGGCAAAAGTTGATGGATTTTTAGATTCGCTTATAAACTATGATAAAGAGCATATACACCCGGATGTAGTCAAAGCAATTCAGCCATATTTGAAAGATCCAGAATTTGACCCAGACCTAATCGCGTCAAAGTCTTCAGCTGCTGCTGGTGAGTAAAAAGTATAATTTATTTCAGCAATATAATTTAAATAATTAGTATTATTACTATTATTTATGTAATAATTATATAGGTATGCTTATTAATAATGCATATCTTCAACTATACCTACCTGAATACTGAATATATATAAATTATAATATGGGATAAACTCAGTTTTGAAGTTATTTGTTGTATACATTTTTAATAATAATACATTTATATTTATTACAATTTGTAACATTGAACTTCCATATTCAAGGTTTATGTAAATGGGTAATAAATATAATGAAGTTTAATACCGTTTGGCAAGTTGTTGAGCCTAAAAGAAAAGCTCGGGATCAAGCAAACGAAGAGCTGAGCGCTGCTAGGAATAAACTGATGGAGCTTAGAAATATGATAATTGTAAAGTTTAATTTATGAACAATTACGTAGTATTTTATATAACTTATTATAATTTAAGGAATTGGAAAGGAAACAAAAAATTTTAACCGACGAGTTTGATGGCGCAGTAGCTGAAAAAACTAATTGTCAAAATCAAGCTGATGAAACATCTATGAGGATTGATTTAGCAAACCGACTTGTAAATGGCTTAGCATCGGAAAATGTCCGTTGGAAAGAGAGTGTTTCGACGTAAATTATTTCAGCATTTTTTCATTAGAAGGATAGAACCATAAACAATTTTATTTTACATTTTAGATTGCAAAAAAGTTTGCAAACTTTACCTGGGGATACTCTTATGATTTCTGCTTTTGTATCATATGTAGGTTACTTTACAAAAATGTATCGTCAAGAACTAATTCAAAATGCATGGTTACCTTTTTTCAAAGAAGTTAAGGTAAATTTATCATATGTGTGAACAAATTGAATTAAAATCAAAATGTGCAATTTATTTTATATTGAGCTCTTCGATTATTAAAATATTAATTTTCAGCCCGAGATACCAATAACAGATAATTTAGATCCGCTATCTTTACTCACTGATGATGCACAAATTGCAGCTTGGAATAATGAAGGTCTACCAAATGATAGGATGTCATCTGAAAATGCAACAATTTTAACTAATTCTGTTAGATGGCCATTGATGGTTGATCCTCAAGTACGTTATATTTTTATTTTTATAACCTTATTTGATGAGTACAGCATAGTTGTGATTATTTTGTTAAATAGCTTCAAGGAATTAAATGGATTAAAACAAAATATGGCAGAAGCTTAAGAATTACCAGACTGAACTATAAAAATTATTTATTTGATATAGAAGTTTGTGTAAGAGATGGGAACGTTCTGTTGATCGAAAATATAGGTGAAAACATTGACCCCGTTTTGGATAACATTATTGGCCGAAACTTGATAAAAAAAGGAAGGTAAACAAATTTTTCTCTGCTAAATAATACATATATTTGATTTCCATTCATATGCAATTTTAGTGCTGTAAAAATCGGTGAAAAAGAGATTGATTACAATCCAAATTTCCGTCTTATATTGCACACAAAATTATCAAACCCACATTACAAACCTGAAATGCAAGCACAGACAACACTAATTAACTTCACTGTGAACCGTGATCAACTTGAAGATCAATTATTAGCAGAAGTTGTGAAAGTTGAAAGACCTGATTTAGAAAAAATGAGGATTAATCTGACTAAACAACAAAATAGTTTTAAAATAACATTAAAACAACTTGAAGATGATCTATTACAGAGGCTGTCATCAGCTGATGGTGATCAGATACTCGGTGACAAAGAACTTGTTTTAAACCTTGAAAAGTCTAAAAAAACGGCTACAGAAATTGAAGTAAAAGTAGCTGAAGCGAAAATAACATCAAAAGAAATTGACTCTGCCCGTGAAGAATATCGCGTTGCTGCAACACGAGCATCAATTGTTTACTTTATAATGAATGATTTGATAAAAATAAATCCAATGTATCAGTTTTCTTTAGAGGTAAACTATAAAATTTAAGACAAGCTAATTGCTTTTAAAGTTGATTTGTGCCATTTAAGTTTATTAATTTACAGAGTATTTCTTATTTTTTTTAAAAATATTTTATTAAAATGCAACTTATTAATGTTTTTCAGATTATTTTTAAACTACATTATATGAATCAGCTATAATAATTGTTTATTATTCTCTTTTTTATTTATAAAGGCTTTTAGTGTTGTCTTCCAACGAGCTATGAGAGAAGCAGAAAAAGCAGACACATTAAATAAACGAATAGTCAATTTGGTGGATAATATAACTTATCAAACATTTATTTATACTAGTAGAGGATTATTTGAAAAGGATAAGTTAATATTCATTTGTCAAGTCACTATTCAGGTACACATACAACTATATGGTGATGAAGAGTTATTTACTTTTTAATAATATAACTAAAATATTTCATTACATGCATTTTATTTTAACATTTCAATTTTTAATGATTATTGAATAGTGATAATAATTGAAAAATATATTATACTGTAGGTACAAATTCAAGCAAATAAAATAAAACCGATAGAGTTAGAATATTTGTTGAGAAGGCCAGCAATTTCTGGATTAACTAGTCCATTTGATTTTATTTCATCAAATGTATGGGGAGCTATAAAATCACTTGTTTTAGCTGATGATGAATTTGTGTAAGAAAAAAATTTGCACTATTAATAAATACTTAATTTATTATAATAATTAATCATTTATTTAAATAATGTATTTATTATTAAAGAGGTCTAGACAAGGATATTGAAACTTCGGGTAAACGGTGGCAGTTATACATTGATGGAGAAGCTCCAGAGAATGATAATCTACCTCAAGAATGGAAAAATAAAACTCCATTCCAGAGACTTTGCATAATAAGAGCTTTAAGAACTGATCGAATGACTTATGCTACTAAAGTATACGTCCAAGATGTTCTTGGTCTCAAATATACCAATTTTAGACCTCCAGAGTTCATTGATTCATTCAAAGAAACTACCTGTAAAACACCTGTATTTTTTATATTATCAGCAGGAGTTGATCCAACACGTGTAAATATTACATTATCATCTATATCTTTTAATATTTAAAATGTTTTAAGTATACTCAAGTACACAATTTACTTGCTTACTACAAGCATATTATGTTATAGGACGTTGAAGCTGTTGGTAAAAAAAAAGGATTTACAATTGAAAAAAAGAACTTTCATAACATATCTTTAGGGCAAGGACAAGAACAAGTGGCAGAAGATGCTATAGAGTTAAGTTCTCGGTTGGGTAATTGGGTTATGTTACAAGTAAATATGAAATTATAGTTAACCCCTTAACTCACTTTAACATTATTAAGTCACTATTTATGTTTAAAAGAATGTGCATCTAGTACAAAAATGGCTGCCTTCTTTGGATAAAAAAATGGAAGCATCTTTTGAACATCCACATGTCAATTATAGAATATTCATTAGTGCTGAACCTGCCGCTGACCCACTCTATCACATTATTCCTCAAGTATTTCTTATATAAATTAAACAATATTTAATTGTAAAATTGTTGTTTGTCTTTTTAGGGTGTCTTAGATTCTTCCATCAAAATTACTAACGAACCACCAACAGGAATGATGGCAAATTTACATAAAGCTTTAGATAATTTTAATCAAGACACACTTGAGATGTGTTCTAAAGAAGCAGAATTTAAAGCAATTCTGTTTAGTTTATGTTATTTTCATGCATCAGTACAGGAAAGATTAAAGTTTGGAGCTCAAGGATGGAATAGATCATATCCATTTAATGTGGGTGATTTGACGATTTCTATCAATGTATTATACAATTACCTGGAAGCCAACAATAAAGTTCCTTGGGAGGACCTTAGATATCTTTTTGGAGAGATCATGTATGGTGGACACATTACCGACGATTGGGATAGAAGATTATGTCGGACATACCTTGAAGTCTACATGAATCCAGATCTAGTACTATTAAAAATGTGTATATTTATACACGCAATATGGTTTCATAAATGTTGTTATTTGAAAATATAGATGGAAGGAGACCTTTTATTTGCACCTGGTTTTGTGGCCCCTCCAAATACAGACTATAAGTCATATCATGAATATATAGATGATTTGCTGCCATCAGAAAGCCCTATACTGTATGGGCTACATTCAAATGCTGAACTTGGCACACTCAGTACAAGGTCTGAAAATTTATTCCAGACTCTATTGGAAATGCAGCCTAGAGATTCTGGATCGTCTGGCGGAACTAGTATGTCAAGGGATGACAAAGTAAGTTGAATTAGTTGTAAAAATCAAATTTATTGGACATATAGTTATGAATGGTACGCAATTTATTTCTAGGTTAGACAAGCTTTGGACGACGTTCTTGATAAAGTTCCAGAACCATTTAATTTAATAGATATGATGAGTAAGGCTGAAGAACAAACTCCATATGTAATCGTTTCATTTCAAGAATGTGAGCGCATGAATGGATTAATGAACGAAATAAGAAGATCATTAAAAGAGCTACATTTAGGGTTAAAGGTATATTTTATATTTGTCTAATGATTTAGAGTTATTACACTGGAAATAATAATACAGAGAGCAGAAGATAGCAATCATAGTATTATAGTGATTAGTTTAAAGTTAATTTAATAAAAAAGTAATAAGCAATTTACAAAAGAAACATATTCAATATTGTTAACATAGTTAAAAATGCAGTTAAAACTTTAACCTTGAAATGCTTCAACTGCATCATTAAATTTAGAAAAATGTGTTTCTATAATTTCTACAATAGAATTTTTTAGGTATTTATATTCAATCAATACTTTCATAATCGAGTTTCTTAACCCACTGTCAAAGAGCCAGCTGCTGTAGCCGATGGGTACTTAGACCTCTGCGGTCAACCTCTGGTTGTATTATTTTACAGAGATTGCACGGTCAGCCCGCTTTGTATTTGAATGTGCCTTAATTTTAGGTGTAGGATGGAATGTTTTTTGTGACAAAGCACACAACAAACAATGAAACCAAATTATATTGCTTATTATAATTAAAATCTTTTCCATATTTCAATTTCCATTATGCTTTTCACTACTTATATTTATTGAATTTTACATAATACATAAATGGTATTTTCTAAAATTTAGGGGGAACTGACAATAACTGCAGACATGGAGGCGTTAGAAGAATGTTTGTTCATGGACAGAGTTCCGCCTAGCTGGGAAAAGCGTGCTTACCCATCGTTGTTATCTTTAGCGGCTTGGTATGCAGATTTATTAAAGAGATTGCGTGAACTAGAGTCTTGGGTTAGCGAATTTCAGGTAAACTATAATTTATCAGCAAAAAATTACTAAATTATTACAAATATTAAAACATATTTGATTCATTTTTGTTTTAGCTTCCATCGTCGGTATGGTTAGGTGGGTTTTTCAACCCACAATCATTTTTAACTGCTATAATGCAGTCCACCGCTCGAAAAATGGGATGGCCTTTAGATAAAATGTGCTTACAATGTGATGTGACAAAAAGATACGAAGAAGAAATAACGTAAGCAAACAAATAACCCTAGAAATTGAGGAAACTGATATTGAATATTGTAAAACTATAAATCATGTTTATGATTTGATTTGATTTATTTTGATTTGTAGGGTTGCACCTAGAGAAGGTGCCATGATAAATGGATTGATATTAGAAGGTGCTCGTTGGGATTTAACCACAGGTTGTATTGTTGAATCGATTCCGAAAGAATTGTTTCCAATAATGCCGGTTATACACTTTAAAGCTATTATCAAAGACAAACAAGATTTGAGAAATATTTACGAATGCCCAGTTTACAAAATTAAACTAAGAGGTCCAACATACGTGTGGACATTTAATTTGAGAACATGGCAAAAGCCATCCAAATGGATTTTAGCTGGTGTAGCAATATTACTTAGTGTATAGTTATAAATACTGAGTACCAAATAAATGTGATTTAAATTGATGTTTTGTTTATGTTTATTTAATTTGATCATTATAAATCATAAATAGGTACAATAATAATTTTAAGAAAAGGAAAAAGAAAAAAATCATTTATTGCTTTCAAAGAAATCTTTGTTTTAATTTTTGTTTTACTTATACTTTTTCTATGAAACACAATTTTACTGCAACTCATTTCTTAACATTGGTTTTCAGAGTTTTGAGAGATAAATAATAAATGAAAATATAAAATATTTATATGTATAGATAAGTTATATAATATTTTGTTACATTTTTATGATCATAATTCATAATAAATCTGACAAAAACACTCATACATATTAAGCCTAAATACATGCATCCATAATTCACCAATATTATTATAATAGTGAGAATAGCACATACCAGGGTGTTATTAAAACCCACAGCCCGAATATGGCCATGCAAGCCTTTGTTTTGGCCCTCTTAAAAAAAAATATATTTAATAATTTTAGTTTTATAAGTGATAAATTTAAAAAAAAACTATGGCGGTGGAAGTTCTACTATAGCTTATTCAATAAGGTGATAACTTGTGTATTATATTGTATTATTATAATATGTTTGTTATAAAATAAAATATGAATACAAATATTTTTTTCTTTTGGTGGCTTCTATACTGTTGATAAATATGTACATTGGCCAGTCAATTTCAAAAGGTTGGACCACCCTAGCATAGATTGTTGGTTCAATGTTCTGTGAACCAACATTATCTATAACAAAATAGTTAACAGTCCTATATAAATAGTAGATTTTTTGTATGAATAAACCTTGTAAAACAAAACTGCAAGACTCTATTATAGATTTTACAATTATACATTAAATTAATAATAGAGTCTTGCAGTTTTGTTTTACAAGGTTTATTCATACAAAAAATCTACTATTTATATAGGACTGTTAACTATTTTGTTATAGATAATGTTTTGTTTAATGTTATATTGTGTTATATTGAATAGCTATTTTATTATAATGATAATATATAGTACCTACCTAATAGTGCGTACAAATAATAATAATAGACGGCGCGATATAATAGATATACCTATATCACAAATCAAGTGAATAATGATTAAAGTAGGTCACACAGGAATTGTGTGAATTAGTATAAGTCAATAACACCACAGAAATATATATATATGAAGGGACATCCGGCGTATGCAGCACATGCAGTCACACGTTAGGTCTATGACCATGGAGATCCCATATACACGGGGATATGTAAATGCATATCGGGGACTAGGGACTAGAGGCTTTCTGACAAACTCTCGTTAGATGAACAGCAACAAGACAGATTAAAAAAGGCACCAGAAAAAACCACCATGTCACATCTCGCTCATCAACATTACAATTTTCAGTCTTTGGCATGTTTTTAAACCCCGCTATACTGCAGTTGACGGAAGGAGAAAAAATGCAAATGATATTCGAAGAGTTGAGGTCGGCCAAGTGCTACATTCCGACACGGGTTGGAACTTGACTGATTCATGTAAATAAATTTGCTTTGTTATGCTACTTATCTAATTGGGTTTTAATTGAAATAGTATTGTATTATAATCAAACGCATCAACACCAGATAATCTATATTATTATAATTTTTTTCTTTTCACATATTATACCAAACCAGGCCTTCTTCAATATTCACTATGAATTCTCATGGCCTTGACTATGTGGTTCTATTTTAATTATAAAGTATTATTATAACTGAGTTATTACATATTATATTCTATATTTTAAGTAAATCTGTTGCTTCTCCAGTTTTAATTCTGTATTTAGTTTTGATATGTCTCTAAATGGCATATACACTCGATTGTTGGTGTTGGTGCACTCATTCAACAAAAAACTTGGAATTATTGACGGTTCCATGATGACAATCTTTATCTTTTAGGGTAATATATGGGTGCCATTAATCAGAATAAGTAATTGATCCTAGTCTTTTCACATTTTGTATTATTGGTAACAAAGTTGCCTTATCTCTTTTTTCCAATATAAAAATCTTCGTTCTAGAACCCCATCAACATTTTTACAACACTTACCAAAAATTCATGGTCCTTGAATGCGAGTTTTGAAATTTTTTTGAGTTGAATGATCATCATCAATATCATCAGCATTTACATCAGGTATTTCAGACATTTTCATATTGCTTTTGAATAAAAATCTAAACTTTTTTCTATTTCTAAGTAAGCAATATTTCTTTTTTTAAGTTCAAAAATTAATTTATCACAAATAACATAATATGTATTAATAATACAATTTTCTTTGGATGTTAAGTTGATACATTGTATGTTTGTGTCATCCAAATGTTTGCTCTTAGGTACTTTTACTTTTCTTTTTAGTGAATAATCTGAAATTATGTTTAAACTGCATGCTTCCTCTTCATATATTGTAAAATCTTCCCGGGCGCTTTGAATAAAATCAATCAATGAAGTGTAAAGAGGAACTGCTGAGACATTAATCTTAAATGATTATAAGTCATTGTTAACACTATTAATTTTTTGTACAATTGAGTTCCACACTACAGTCAAAACAACTGTTTTTTTCAATATTAAAATAAATTACAAACTAGCAAAAAATATGAGGGCCGCTTCAAATTGGGGCCAGGTGACAAGTCACCCAGGTACCCCCCTAAACCAGGCACTGTCCTGATCTATTAACACAAATTCACATTAAGCTATAAAGTTCCAATTTTTAATGCTCACCACATGTACTGGTTCTCTTTACCGATATTCAAAAAATCAACCATTATATAGAATGATGAATATATCAAATAAAAGTATCCATCCACCCTATTAGTTTAATTATTTGGTATGTATTAAGTGTTATATTTTGTATATATTTACTATCTTGTATTGATTTGGGTACATCCTGTGTTGTAATAAAAATAAATAAATAAAAACATTATGAGACGTATAAAAAATTTTACATACAATTTTAACAAGATGTGTGGTATGTTCTTAATTACTTATTGGATTAGCATTAGTTATCAATGGGTAAAAACCATATAATTTTAAAATAGTATGCTGTATTTTTGAAAATATATAAGTTGCTTTCATACATTGAAATTGTTTTTTTCCCTAAAATATAAACAAATAACTTTATAAAAATGGCTATTTTAAAATTTTCAAAAAAAAAATTTGAGCTTTTTTTTAAACTAACCCTGGTAATAGCCACCCTATATTAGCCAAAAATCATAAAAAAAAATTATTTAGCTCTAGTAAATTAAATTTATGCAAATTGTTTTAATTAAAAGTACCAATGAATATACTTAACTTATATGGACCATAACTATAAACTAGAAAACCGAAATTGATAATTGTATCATCAACATTTTCACAAAAATAGCTCTACTGGAAATCAGAATCTATTAAAAGATATAGTTGTTACCATTAGAAAAATAAAGTGAATTTTGTTGTTTATACAACTCCATGTTTCCAAATTTTGATATTGTGATAAATGAATTGCTATATAAAGGAGAATGTCTTTATTTGTTTCTTTGGAATTCCACATTATTGATCCATAAGTATCAAAAACCGCACATACAACAGCATAAGATAAGCCTTGTAAAAAAATTAAACAGTTATTACATTATGTTATTTCGATCAGAGTTCCAATATTAATATTAATATTTAAAAATGCTCATATTTCCCTTTCGTAAAAAATCAAAGAGAGAACATAAATAATGTTTGTACATTTATGTTTGATAATAGGTCAATTCACTCTAATATTGAAGAGGATGTCAGCGCATTGTCGGTTTTCTCTCTCTATTCCATATGCGACACATAGACAAAATAATACATTTTCTCAGAAATATTTTTTCTAATCTTAGAGTAAAATCACCCATTAAAACAATAGAGAATAATATTTTTAAGGGTATAATATATGGACTTGTCTAAATATTGTCTCAAAACAATTTAAAAATCATTTAAATTTACAAATTTCTAATTTTATTTTGAAAGTCTAATACAAAGTCAAATAATAATAAAATATAGAACCTTCACCTATGACACACCCTTAAAAATATTATTCTCAATAATATTTATCATAGGTGATTTCACTCCAAGATTACTCAAAAATCATAAAAACGATTTTAGTGAAAGCCTTTTATCTAAGTTGAGCATGAGCCTAAGAGAAAACAAATATTGCCCTAACATCCTCTTAAGTCAATTACTTAAATGATATTAGGGTCCTAATCATTCTGAAAAAATTTATGAAGGTAAGCAGTTTTAAGAGCTAAGATAATTTATAGGTAAATTGCCTTCAGTACTACCTATACGTAAACTAACCTATATTACAAATACGGAACTCACATCTCACAATAGTCATGATAAAAATTGCAAAGGTACATAAGTGTTTAAATTACTTCAATTACTCTTTCAGAAAGACCTTACTCGTACAGATCATTGGCCTTTCTCCATGCACCACATTTTACGTATTTCTCTACCATATCACTTATAAATCATTTTGGTACCCTTAAATTTATTTTCTTTATTTGTATTTTTATTCTACTACATATTTTATAAGTAATACCATATAAATAACAAACTTCAAATAACTATTAAAATAATGATTTACCCAAATTGTTTTGGGCACAATGATTTATAAGACACCAATTTACCTTCCTATTTGAAAAATTTCTTGGTTACTAAAGTGCAATTTTTTCCTATTATTATCAAAACTCACAAAGTCACAACTGAAGTTGTAAGCAATATACACTGTCCAACTTGTATAATGTACATCATATAGATTTAATAACACGACAATACAAACATACCTACAATTGGAAAAACTTACCCTGTTCATAATCTGTGTCTGTTTCACCACTCGGAGATCTCTCACTTTCTTCACGATTAAACAAATTTATCTTTTCCATTAGAGATACACAACTGTCAGGGTCAATCATTTAACTAAAAATGAGAATACATAGAATAGTTAATTAATGATAGTAAAGACCTCTATGATTTACCTAAGCAATAAACTAACATTTCCTTCAGACCGATGAAAGAATGTGTACCTTCTATCCTGAAACTGAGTATAGTTTTACTAAAAGAAAATTTACTGCTAAATATTGAGCTGTTCTTCAACGACAGAATCATGTCGACTGTCCGAATTTGGTATCTTCAATAGTTTTAAATATAAATAAAACTTTCCACGAAGTTTAGCCGAAAATTCGTAATACAATTTTTTTCTTTTTTTACAAGAAGCCACCCACTAGTGGCACTTGACTGGATGTTGTATGAATCTAACCATATTTTATAGATTATACTGATTTTTTTTTTGATTTTTTCCTAGTATCGTACAACAATTTAGCATTTTTTGCACTATGTATAGTATAATATTTTCGTACTGTTTTAGTTAGTTATAAACATATTACATTCCCATGTAATATTGTATTTTGTCATAATTATATTGGTTATATTATTTATTACAGCACGAACTTTATAATAAATAAATAAAATGTATAAGCATAAATTGCATCCATTTCGACGTGATATCAGTAAACACTGAACAGTTGTAAGCACGGACTAAGATATATCTTAGTCCGTGGCTCTCGTTATCTCCACAAAAACACTTCTAATCACTGCATTTTTTTTTTATCAGGTGGATTATCATATACTATCATGTTCTGTGATACTATCACCATTCGCCATAAAAATTCGTGTAGTGTAAAGCAAACAATCTGTATTCCGTGTTGTCGACCAATATTTTAACTTTAATTATTAGTGTCATTTGTTTTTTTTTAGATACATTACTACACTAGTAATTGTTTTTAATTAGTTTTCACTGATGTTTGAAATCGTTCATTAGACTTAATTTATAATCTGGTTTGAGTTAAACTGTTATCGTTTAATATTTAGCTTATGATTTTTCATATCTATTTCAAACTATTTTATTAATTAAACCCACTTAATTAGTTTTGAAAATTAAAGAATAATGAAATCATACATTCCGAGTGAGTGATAATTTGTCATACTAATTAATTAACCACTTAATAATTTGTATTTTATATTTTGATTTGTTTGTTTAGTATATCTATTGGAGAATCTTTCTGCTAATAATATAATACTAAACTGAAGTAACCGAGTATAAAAGGTATAATCACTTTAATTCTGTAAACAATTAATTAGGTATCAAATGTATCTTAAACTTATTGATATTCATGTTGTATTTTTAGTTATAAATTTCGAGAAAATAATAATTATTACAAGATGCCGTTAATCCAAGTAGATGTAAAAATGTTACCTATGAAAGTGCACTACTTTCTGTTCATGGGAGGTAAGTGTTAACATTTCATAACAAATAACCATAAGGACATTTCTAAAAACAATCCATTAATTATTATTGTATAGTTAATAGTTGAACATCTTCTATTTCATAACTTGACCTAATTACCTAATTTGTATGATTTACATTTGGTAGTACAACTACATAATGATTCAGTAATATATAGTAAAATGAGTTGATTAAAAGGAGGACCTTATAATTAGTATTCAATTTATAATAGTTACTAGTTACTTCCTATATAGTTTATAAACATATAAAAAATGAAATTTATTTAATAGTGGAATTTATCTATTTCAATTGAATAGAAACATAAGAATTAGATTAGAAATAAGGTTTGGTAGCAACCAGTTTTCATCAGGTAGTGCTCAGAGAATACCTGTGGGTAGTCCCACCAAATCAATCATATGTAGGCCTGCTATGTTTTGAAGCTACAACTCGGACTTTATTTACCAAAAGATCTATATTATTTTATATATCATTGATTATGTTTAATGCCGAGAACCTTTAGCTGTACAAACAAAAATAGGTGCAAGCACTTCTTTAATTAAAAACCTAACATTTGGTTATTAAAAATTTACTTTAAATGATAGTTTTTATAGTATGTTTCAGTCAATAAATTAAAATTATCAAACTATTATAAAAATATGATTATGTTATTGAATTTTGTTAATATTTATTTTCTTTTATACACAATTATCATTTCTACATAACATATTAGCATGCCATATTATCTTCAGTTAATCTTAATTTTACATACAATTTTATCAATTCTGAATTACTTATATAATTAATAATCATTTTCATCAGACAGAATACATATTTAGTTTCAATTTTTTTTTCAAATTAAATAAAATTGTATTTATTATTTGTATTTTTTTCAGCCAAAATTCATTATTTGTAGACCTTTATCAATTACCATAATACCATACAAAATTAATGTCTGTAATTTTTGTATAGTAGAGTTATATGGATTTTTTTTATTTAACCAATGACCTAGGAAGTGCTAGAATATAATTAAAGTTCCGGAAAATTAAGACGTATCTATCTTTGTGCGTGATTTAAAGTTCATTATGCCTTATATAAAAAAAAATTATAATTTCAGATAACATTTAAAGAAATTGATCATAAAATATTTCATAATGATAACAAATTGAAAAAATCTTTTATGGTTAGTAATTTTCCTGATATGGATAAATTCATATTATGCGTGGATCAAAATTAAATGTTACATGACCAAGTGTAAAATATTTAAAAATGTACAAAGTGATTTTTTTTTTATCAAAAAAATTGTTTGTAATTTTTTAGTTATGTAACAGAATTATTAAAGATAACGAGAGTATCTTTAATAACATTGTTACATAACTCAAAATAAAATTACAAAACAATTATTTTTTTTAAAAATGGCCATTTTATATTTTATATTCCAAATAAAAATATTATAACTGACTTTCAAACAAGTAATTAATTTGTTATAAGTAGTTAAAGTTTAGATGAGCGTAGTTTCATTTTGCAGGGCTAGTGATTACTCTTGTTTGTGCTGCTCATCTCTATAGCTTATAAAGTACCCATTAGTTCAAAATGTTAGGAAAAAATTCTGCTTTAGAATATGAAATTACAAATGAGTGTTTATTCAAAAAAAATAAAAACTGATGACGTCTTTTTTAAATTATAACATTTTATCATTTTTCAACAACTTAAAATTATATAAAATAATATTTTCTAAAACATGATTACTTTTTGAGATGGTGAAAGTTTATTGTTAAATGAATCACACTTGCAAAATGCATCATATTTTCTATTGTTAAGTTTAAGAGGACACCACACCCTTGTCTTCTTCTTACAAACGCGTAACATAGCAAATTTAGGCTCAGTAGTTAAGGGGGAATTACCGGTAATTTTGTTGGCTAAAAAATTAGAGTTAATTGATTTATTATAAAATTTCATGGTAAGAACATTATCTGTTTTTGAATATTGTTTTTTTACAATAGTAACATTTTTTAGCAAATTATTCGTGTACAATATAACGTTAATTAAAAATACTCATTACTCACTTAAAAAACCAACATAGGATTACAGATAATGTTCTTACCATTAAATTTCATAGTAGGTCGAGAATCATTCTAATTTTTAAACTAGCATAATTAAACGTGATCTGCTAAGTGTAAATTTTCTATGTTACGCACTTAAAAGGCATAGACAACACATGTGGGTGTGACGTCTTATTAATAATATAGGGAATTGGTGTATTCTACGACTTAAAGATAAGAATATAACCCAAAGCTTTTATTGATTTTAAAGTTATGAGAATTTAAATATGTACGTTGTAAGTTTGTTAGATGGTGGTAAACACGTGAAGATATGACATAATTTAAATAATTACTGTAAGGGAGTTAAGAGTTTTCATGATAGTCAATAATTTCTTCAAACAATTATGTCATTATCAAAGTGTTTGTTGTAAACTATAATTAGTATAAAATACTGGTAAGATCGTATAATATACAGAAACACCAAATAGCTAGAAATTATGCAGTCATGCATCGAGGAATAGTTAGTTTGTCAAGTTTAAAAATTAATTTTGTATTGATCAGATTTGATAAATGTATGCACTAAAGCTTATAAAATATGTCTTAAAACGTTTGAAAATATTCATTTATTTGCACTAAAAATTTGAGAATCAAAAAAGAAAAAATCATAAGCAACTCTTGATATAGCAAAAAAAATGTATTCATATTTTTAATCATTTTACGGATTTTTAAGAGGCGACAATTCCCTTACATTTTATACAACACAAAATGTAAATGATTGTATTTTTTAACAAATTTTGTTTTTCTGTAGTATTTCAATAAAAAAAAATTCTAAATATGCAAAAATGCCTAAAATACAATTTCACATATTTGACCATGATATCTTTACATTAATTTCTGTCATCTAGTGTTAAATACAACTTGGCAAGATTGATATGAAAATGAACTTACGATCCCTGATTATTAGCACTGTCTATTCAACTTTGTTTTATTATTGTTTTAAAATTATTTTCTTTATTTCTACAACTTCAATTTTCGGTAAAATGATGCTGCAATTTAAGTGAGGTAATTTGAACTCTAGAAACTGTTACGAGGACCCTTAAAGAATCAGATATTCTCAAAATATGTATCAGCGTTTGATAATTATTAATTATGGATCAGTAGAGTAATATACTAAACAAATGAAGTGAATTTATTCCTAAAATATACTTAAATGCAAATGAAATAAAATTATTCTTACAAGAGGTACTCCTATTATTTTTTGAAATTTGAACATTAAAGGACTAGCAGAAAAACCAAATTTATCAATTTGGATGTATAATTTTAGATTCTGAGTACATGCTAATCATATATGTATGTTGAGTATTGACTACCCTGCAATTATTATGTTACATTCTGTATAATACATGTTGGTGGTTAATTTTGTTAAGAAATCAATTCTACACAGTATGCTCATCTATCTTATTACTCTTTGATAATAATCTCTTATATTATATAACTATTATTTGTTAAATCAGTATTGGTGTTTTCTCTCAATAAAAATAAAGATGAGTCTGTTATATTCCATCAATAAAGTAGTTGTATTACTTATTACTGATTACTATCGGAGTTGACTATATCTGTTTAATAAGATTCAATAAATTTACTTTACAATTAATATTTCAATGTTTAATTGATGAGATTTAGTTAATAACCAACAGCCGTTAAATATGTATCTTGAGCAATTACTTTTACAAATAAGTATTAAACAGTTAACACGATTGTATAGAATTTATATAATGAAGATATTTTGTTTTTTATTAGAGTCAAACTTGGGAGGATCAAAACAAAAACTTTAATTAAATGCTTAAAAAACTTAGTATATTTGAAATTCATTCAAGTACATTTTTTATGATCTTATCAATGAAATTAGTTTATGATGTTGTTTCAGTATAATTTTACTGTTTGCAAATTGTTACTCATCAAGCAAAGGTCGAAATTGTCCATCTTTAGACCAAACATACCTCAAAACTATTTTGAATTGTGCCATTTTATGTCCAAAAAGTTTCTAAAAAAAAAAAGTATATTAATAATTTGTATGATTTTTATTAAGGTTGATGTGGTAGTTACAAGTAGTCTAGACTGTTCTGGTGTGATAATGCTTCCTTCTTTACATATTGTGTGACTTTTTAGGACTTGTATAACACCGCGTTGTAAACTTGTTGGTAAACCTAGCTGTCTTAATGAAGGTTCCATTGAATGGATAAATGTGTCAGGTAGTGGGCCTTCATCTAATGTTACTGTGTATGCAGCTTTGATACCAGCCCTGGGGAATTCGGGCTCTGAGTAGTTGTCAAACCACCTAAACATTAGCATATTAGATACATATCAAATAAGAAGGACTAACACCTAGATATAATAATAAATAATAAAATAAAATAGGTATCTCACTCTATAACATCATCAACTGGTCTGTTAGTAAATAATAATCCACATTGCCCTTCGATTTGAAGAGCTAATTTATGTAAATTAGTTTGAATTTCGTCTTGAGCTGATTTTCCCAAAGCATATGACATCACTTTATTTTTACCAAAGAAAAACCTAAGACATTTGCATAAAAAAAATTATACACTACAAAAAAATCTATAATTTAGATAGGTATTTAGGAATTACCTGCTATCTTTCCATTCATTTCGTACATCTTTTAATTTACCATTTCGCATGTTATCAGTATGAAATACAAATATGTGTTCATATTTGGTAACAGCCTCACGGAGATTTTCCATTACAGATTGTTTCAATTTAGAACCCAATTTGGTTGTCTTGGTTAGTGAAACTAAGGTAAAACACAAAATATTGAACACTTAAATGAACACATATTTATTACACTACAGAATATAAGAAATAAGATCCATAGCATAATCTTGATAGCAATATAGCGAATAATACATTATTAATTCAGTTCTTATTTAACTAAGATAATCTAAATTTTACATAATTGTTGATAAATAGGAAAATTGTCTTCATATTCACTTCATGCAAATTATGAATTATATTTTGTTTTGAATACAAGTTAAGGCATATTTGTACATAACATGAATGCCTATTAGTATTGTAATAACTTAATTAAATATAAATAATAACGGTTGTGAAAATTATGAGTTGGAATAGTTCAATTTTTCTATGAACCTTTGAAGACACTTTCGCTTATTAAAGCAGAATAACTTACTCTTTTTATCTCGCTTTGACTTAGGCATTGTTCCGTAGTTATTTTATTACACAAGACGTAACTGATACTTTTAAGTATATTGTTTAATAACTTTTAAGTATTTTACCTACGCGTAGTAACTGAAAAAAATCGTTTTGGTTAAGGAGTAAGAATTTAATAGTTGTTATATTATGATAACCTTAAATAATTATCATTTATTATCCTTCTATTTACCGTCCATGTGGTATGTTCATGGCTGTAGATAGTACTATCTTTTATCTTGGGATTTTTATCGTTCTCGATAGCAGCTTGCGTATGGAACGTCTTTGGAATTGTATTTGTTCAATAGTTGATATCATGAACTAAGAAGTAAGATGTACATCTTAGTTCATGGTTGATACTTGATATTATTGATATTATTATGTGTTTTGATAGGAAAATATAGTAATAATGCTCAAAATTACGAACCAAGATAGTTCTTAGTCCTTTGCAAAAAGTTAAGACTTCATGTCCGGGATGGGAACTCTGGCTGTATTGATAATTATGACTCCGAATTGATGTACAATAACATAGTTGAGAACTTTATCTGTGTTATGCCGTTTTTATTTTTTTGATATCAACTGTACGAAAAAAGTTATTATTGTTTCAAAATCTATTATTATTGTATTTTTCAAACTTGAATGACTTTTTTTACCTAGTTCCGATATCGAAAAAATAAAACCATGTTTCACAGCCCAAATCCTCCTTTTGATGTGGTGAAAATTTAGTTTCTCTGTTATGACTGTAACCCAGTGACGGAGCGGCCTTTTCGACCCAGCAGCCCATGACCAGTTGACGCTGGTATAGCCTTCTCGGTTCTTCACAACAGTTGTTGCTGTGTTTTGCACGTGTAAGACAGACAACACATGCTGTCTTAAATTTAAATCTAAAAACATTTTTATTTTAAATAATATTTACCTATTACGGATTAATAATGTAATTACTAGGATAGTACATAACGTATACTAATAACTAATTAGCAAGGTTGGGCAAGTTAATGATGTTTTTTTTTTAACTCAGCTAAGTTAAGTTAATAGACATTTTTAAAACATGAATTAAGTTTAAATTAAGTTAACAAATAGTATTAACTTAACTTCAATTAATAAGTTAAGGTAATTAAAAAAAAAAATGCATTGAAAAGGTATTGAAATAAGTGAATCATTTGGATAGTAATATACATGTGCTTATAGATGCATGTAATATTATGTATGCAATTTAAAACCTGTAAGTAGCGCCATGTAACATAGGGTCCAAGTGTTGCTCAGGCAACATCTTAAATATGTTTGAGTGGGTATTGATAGAAGAAAAATAGGACGGTATACAAGTATAATGAGGGGTAGGTCACCTAAAATTATTTGAGGAACACCTATTTTTTTATAATACACACCGCTGCGGCACTGCTTGTAAAGCCGTATCATTTTAGAACTATGTATATTTCACTCTGGGTTTGTTTAAATTTAAATTTTATGAATTATAATTGTGAATGTGGGTAGGTACTTTATTGTAACATTTATAATTCATAAAATAAATTATTTAAACATTTAAAAATTATAAAAAAACTACTATACTTTTATTCATAGCATCTATTAAATTTTTTAATAACAATGTCATCTCAAAATTTTGATCTGCCATTGATCCTCTTCTCTTGTTCAGTAACTGTCCTCCAGCACTAAAAAGTAAAAAGCGGCTCAACATATGCAGTTGAAGGGATGGCAGTATTAAACTTAATATATATTTAATTAAGAGAATTTGGTAATTCTGAAAGGGATTAGATATTCATGTTCAACAAAAAATTCTCAAAAAGAAGTTCATTACCATTATTTGAATCCTAAACATTATTTTTCTCTATACTTAAAAAATGCTCCCTCAAAGTCACCATTGTGATATTTTGATTCTATAGATGTGTTAGAAGTAGACTGAAGTTGTTCGTAACTTCGTAAGAATTTGTTGTTGTCGATGAATTATCAATTATGGTTTCCATTTAAAAACAAATGTCAAATGGATAATATACCAGTATACGTATTTTTCAATTTTTGTAATAAAATTATTGTATAAAATATATTAATAAATAATAAGTAATAAACTAATAACTAATGAGTACCTAATAAGTAGGTATTATAAATTATGGCTTAGCCGGGCTCATATCTATTAATTTCTGTAACACGGGCGGTTAATGTTAGCCGTTATGTACATAATTACTCCTATATCATTATTAATTATTTCGTGATTAATATGGCATATTAGTTTTTATTTATAAAAATATATAAACAATTCTTCTTAAATATACCTTTTTTTTCTAATAATATTTTCTATATTTTACGAACTTATAAATTATTTAAATGATATTTTTCTGTAAATTCTTTAATGAACTTAATTGAGAATATTAAAAATAATAAAAGTTGATCTTAAGTTAATGAAGACACAAATGAGTTAAGTCTTTAACTTAAAGTTAAGTTAATCAAAACAGCAAACCAGTAAGTGAAGTTAATAAGTTAAAATTAACTTATTAACTCATTAATGTCCAGCCTTGCTAATTAGTATATTAATCAGTTAGCTCATTTTTAATTGTTGATGTGACATTATTGGCTTGGGAGTTAAAGCCGGCTGTAGGGCCGTCATTGCATCACGCCTTGAATTGTGACCATGTGCGCATATGCAACCTTGGTTACAGCAGGCGGCCGTGGACAAAGCGTTCACGCCGGATTTAGTAATTGTTTTTCTTTTTTATATTGAGCACCCACGCACCCCTAAAAATTAAAATCTTCTGTCTGTCCTGTGACAGATTTATTTTTTTTTAATTTTTAAGGGTTGGTGGGGGCTTAATATGAAAGTGAAAAATAATAGGTAACTAAATAATAATAAATTATTATTATAGGCAAATAATAATAGTAATTCTTGTGTTTGTTATACATTTTTTGTATTATGACGGGGTCAATTTTAGGTAGCTTATGGCTTATGTGTAAGTATATTACTCAGTACTTACTACCATTAAATATTTGATACTTGAGTACATTATATTGTATAGATAAATAATGTTCCTATTATAAAATATATACTAAATTTTTACTACATACTCATACTAGTTGCTCATCGGTCATCCATATAACCTAATTCTCACAATGATTTTCAAGATACCTTCATAATGTTGCTTTAAACACATTTGTTTCATATTTCAGTTATCATTAGCCAATTGTATCTCTAATACCATCCAATACAAATGTTACTAGTACAGAAATTACATAAGATGAAATGTAAAAACTATATATTGCTAAAAATATATTTTATATCAAGTCTCAAGATATTTTATATTGATGAAAATAATATATATTTATATTTCTTCTAAAAAAATACTGACAATATCTTCACTTTTATTTTCTATTCACGTCTTTCAATACCAATCGACGTTGATGTTTCACATCTTCTGCCCTTCCCGTGATGGACCCTTTTTAAAATAATTTTTCAAAATGTTTATTTTAAAGCATTGAATCTGGAGTCTTAACATGTTTGAAAAATAAATAAATATTTAATAATGTTTATTTAAGCTGAATATGATAAAACAATTATATTTAAACCATCATACTTATATTACTTTTTAAATTAAAAATATATTACTTAATATTTTGTTAATTACTAATTGGCATTGGCTCTTTAAATAGATATGTTCACCCCCTCTCCTTCACAAGTTATTTCTACTTATTAAATAGTAAATAATTAAAAAAAAATTTTCATCATTTTTAGTATTTTCATAACTTGAAACACATAAAAAAAAATGTGAATTGAGCTTTGGTACTAAACTTAATTTTGTTTTCTTTAATATGTTAAATTGATTTCGCTAAATAAATATTTTTAAATTTGTAATTAAGTACCTACTTATAGTTGTTTCCTTTTTTTTTACAGGTGTTGCTCCGATGACATCTTTTTTACCAACAATTGCAAAACAATTGGGATATTCTACAATTGTAGTTGGTACCATCTATAGCATTTTACCAATTTTAAGTTTAATAATAAAACCTATTGTTGGTGCAATTGTTGACCAATTCCGGGTTAAGAAATTAATATTTTTAATGTTCATATTATTATCCGGCCTAACAGCATTTTCACTGATGTTTGTTCCCGCAATACCTTTGGACTCTTCAGTTGAACTGAATTGCCATTCTGCTACATATTTAAATGTTTGTTCCGAGGATGATGTACCTTTGTCAAAATGTTCCTCTAAACGAGTCAAAGATGTTATTGGTGGTAGATTTGGTTGTGATGTAAATATTAATGTTCATATTTTAATGTTTAGATATTATATTTTTTTATTTACTTGTTTATTAAATGTTGCATTTTTTATAAATTTGATTTTAGTTAAAATGTCAGAACAGTGTTCATTTTCGTAATGAAATGTGTTCAAATTGGGGATTTAATGACTATTGCCAATTACCAAATTCATCTAGTGTTAATACTATTGAATATCACGAACCAAACAATTCACAAATAGTTAGACCAAAATCGAATAAGAATTATTATAATGATGAATTTGTTTACTTATCTGCAACGTTAGAAATGAACCATTCTGTCAAAGTAAGTTTACAATTTTGTGTTCTAAAAACGTATATTTTGATCCATAAATTTTAATATATATGCTCAATAATGTCATAAATTTCAGTTTGATAATAAATGTTTGTACTTCCGAGTATCATCTGCAAGTTTCTATTATAATTATTCTGAAGTAGTAAAGCACACACCAGTTTGTAATGATAGTTTAAGATCACTATGCGAAGTACAATGTAACAGTGAAGTCATAATGGATGTTATAATTCCCCAAAGCTTTAAAGGCAGTGTCTTGGAATTAAGTCAATTCTGGATATTTTTTCTGCTAATTAGTCTGTTTTGGGTTTGCCAAGCAATTATTTATAGTATTGGCGATTCTATTTGTTTCGATCAACTAGGTAAGAGTTTAAATTAAATATCTCATGTACTAGCTATAATTTTAAATCATAAAAACAATATAATAAATATATTATTTTAATAATAGGCAACAAGCCTAATCTATATGGCAAACAAAGATGCTGGGGTGCTATTGGATGGGGAATTTTTTCAATATTTGCCGGATGGCTTTTAGATCTTTTTAGTTCCAGTGAAGTAAATAAAAACTATTTACCAATATACTATTTATGTTTACTAGTACTACTTTGCAACTTTTTTGTTGCATCAAAACTTGAGGTAACTATTTCAATTAAATTTTAAAACTCTAATAACTTGCATCTAATATATATTTTTTAAAAACTTGATATAAAAGGTGACAGAAACAAAAATATCAACTAATATATGTAAAGATTTTGGAAAACTTTTAGTGGAAGTCAAGGTATTAGGATTCCTTACTTGGGCTATAGTAGTAGGAATTTGCACTGGAATGATTTGGCAATATCTTTTTTGGTAAGTAATTAATTACAACAATAATAAATGTTATAGCATCCATGTGCAATAACATAACATAAATACATAGGTAATACAATAGCTAACCTACCAAAAGTGTTTAGTATTTGTATTTTATTGTTATCTTTTCTTTCCTTGTGGCATCACTACAAGGGGACTAAACTGTTTGCACATTACTTGACCCCCATGGAATATTAAGTATCAACACAATATTAAATACAACGTAAGATCATCCTTAAAGTCTGAGACTACTTTTCTTAGCATATATTAGTGTATACACGTAGAATCAAGGGTCCGTTAGAGTGCACAATTTGACAGCATTTTACTGAACCTGAAAGGGATAGATGATTAGGTCCTGTCTTAACCCTTTACAGATTATACAATTATTTAAGTTAACGGAAGATTGTTGGAACCAATCTATTCTTCTCGGGCTGACTTTAGTACTCTATCCTGATATCTCATACTGAAGAACCTATTTCTGAGATTTTATTATTATCTAGTTCCTAAAATATCCACGCTTTTGCCTACCTAATTCGTAACATTGAAAATATCAAATTCAATGTTTGGGAATTTGAGAATAAAATTTCTTTAATCATCATTTAATTATAGATTAGTATAAATGTGCATTACAGTTTAATGTTTTGTTTTAACTTATTTTAGGTATGTTGAAGATGTAGCTTCCACGAATGAGTGTAAAACTCAACGTTGGATTAAGACACTGCAAGGTTTAATATCAGGAGTTCAATGTTTTGGTGGTGAAGTGCCATTCTTTTTTTGGTCAGGCTGGATTATGAAACGTTTGGGACACTTGAATTGCATGTCTCTTGTTTTGGGAGTTTTTGCATTTAAATTTTTTGCTTATTCAGTTATTACAAATCCAATTTGGGCTCTTGTTATTGAGTTAACTAATGGAATTACTTTTGGGTTAGCATATGCTGTACTTATGTCGTATGCTAGTATACTTGCACTACCTGGTAGTGAAAGTACTATGATAGGACTTGTTGGTGGAGTTTTTGAAGGCATAGGTAACTATTTTAATATTTTATTAAAAGTATAAATATAAAATAATTAATATTGTGCAATTTTTATCATAGGTGTGTCTTTGGGTAGTCTAATAGGTGGCTTTTTGTACAACGAATATGGTGGACCTGAAACTTTCAGACTCTTTGCATATGGTTCTGCATTAATGTGTGCAATTCATTTGTTATGTCAAAAAGTTTTGAAAGCAAATAGAAAATTAAGCCTGCCAAGTAAGTAAATCTTTTACTTATCTTTCAAATTAATAATGTACTTATCCTTTTGCTTGACTACCGTCTAGAGGTGCCCTACCTTAAGTCATAGCATGACTAATCGTGAGAAATAGAAAAATTAAATAAAATCCAAAAAAATTGTAATGAGTAGTATTAAAATATTTATTCAATTAAAATTATACATAATTTATAAATTTGTGTTTACATAAACGTAATCGTTTCTGTAACTGCTATCATTGGGTTCTCAAATTTGTTTTTGGACCCTATACAATTCTACGGCAGAACGGCCATGTAGAGACACTGCAGCACACACTTTGAGAACTGTCTGATCTAGAGTACCCTCCAATGTCACGGACTTCTGTTGACGTTGATAAAATACAAATCAACTAACTTTAGCTGAATACACACGCTACACTGTTAATCATACTTGTTATCTGGTGGGGCTAACTCAGCACATTCAATTGTATTTGGAACTCCTCTAAATCTAGAAGTAAAGAGCGCCAGGGAGCACATACTTCATCGTACTCCATCATTTGGATTTATATACTCATATTTGACAAAGTTTATCTAGAGACACAATGTAAATGAAGATCAATTTCATATTTTGTTGAAAAATGTTTTCAAAACTTGGTTTCGAATAATAGAATTTTGGATAACATTAAATATTTTATTTATAATTCTTCACTGCTGTGATCATTTTTGTGATAGTCTATGCGATGGTTTTATATTTTATACTTGAAAATGATGCACAATAATATAAATGTGTATTGCTTATTAAACAAAATCATAATTGGTAGTCAAGATAACGGATAAGTACCACTAATAGGCAGGTATGTACTGTTTGTTGCAAGTTAAAAGTAAAACTACATATTGCCATGGAATTACCTATTTGATTCATATTTTTTTTATAAGCTTGGAAAATATTCAAAGTTTTCAAATTTTTAATATTAAATTATAAATTATAAATTAAATTTATAATCTAAAGGTTATTTGAAAAAAGTAAACTTTCATGTACATATTTAAACTATTGCAAATATTTTAAGCCCTTAAATGTAATTTTATCAGTGATTATTGTAAAAAATGTTTTGAAATATTTACATCAACCATATTATTAGGTTATGGGTTTGAAGAAGTACTAAACAACATATCTCATTTTAAAGAAACAGGTACCTCAAGGGTTTATTTAGTTATGTTGCATTTATGTTTTGAGTTGTGTTTTTGTATTATTTAAAGCTACATAATATAGAATATATTGTCTAAATTTATTAATTAATTTTTATTGATTTCATTGTAATATTGATTGCTATGGATGTTAAATATTCAGTGTTGGGTTACTTTTGAAAAGTAATTAAGTTTCTGTACTCGACATTCAAATATGTAATAATTTAATGAAATTACTTAACATTTTGGTAGGAAAAGTAAATTTGTTTTTTTCACATTATAAAAAAAAAAAACTCAGTACACAGGTCTCTCTTATTTCTCATCAGTTGGACAACCATTTTAAGTACAATTAGTGTTTATGTATAAATTGAATAAGATATTGTCCCAACAAAATTTTTTTTTTTTTAAGTTATTTAGTGTAGTATAGTGTCTGAAAATATGTTGTCCAAAATATTAAAAACTGAACTGTGACATGTTAAAATTTAAAATAATATTCATCCATTGTGTATATTTATTATTTTTCATGCCTTAAATTTTAGAAATTATTTATTTAAAATAATATTTCCATTACAGTTTTGTCACCGGGAAATTTTTTTAACAAAATCACATACCATGTCATAATTGAAGTAACTATGTTACTTTTGTTACGCTTCTACCCAACACTGTTAATATTACAGTTTTTTTTTCAAATATTGTAGCTTATTATTTTAATTTGTTTCTGTGTTAAAGAGTTTTTGTGCATAGTTTTTGCAGTTTTGATAAACTTCTACAGTAGTAAACTAGAAAAAGTTATTTTTCAACTTAAAATAGAGTTTAAATATCTTGTTTTCTTCAATTATCCCCCAAAAATGTATTTATTATTATTTAATATTAGGAATAATATTTGGATTCACAGAATTTTAGCATAAATTATGCATCTTCAATATTTTTTTTATATTTTCAAATGGGTAATATAACTAGCTTTCCATAATATGTGAAAAAAATGGCCAATTCATAAATGATTTTTATTTTTATTATTTATGCCTTATTATTTGCCAATTTTGTACTTGAGAAATTTGTTTACATCATTATTTAATAAAAAAAAAATGGTTTTTGTTTTAAATTATAAAATAAAATTTTAATTACATTCTATACGTCACAACACGCACAGTATTTAAGCAAAATTGTTTTTTCTAATATTGCTCTGATGTTAAAAATAATATTTTTGTTTCTTTGTCCCTACCAAAATTACTCAATACTTATTTTTTTACTATTATTTATTTTTCAAACATTTTCAATTACAAAAACGTGTTTTATTATAAAAACATGTTTGACTATATTAGAAAATAATTTGAAGGCTGTATAATTTTATAAAAAGTAGATCAATTCAATTTATTATTTATTAATATATTTTTAACATCATAACACCATAACAAATATTATAGTAAATATTATAATTTTATAATATAAACACAAAATTGTCCTCATAACCGAGTAAGATTCTTATAAAATTTATATAACTTGGTATTTTAATATATAAATTTAAAAGTGGTGAAATATGTGCAAAAGTGTAATTTAATTTACATTACTTTGCCTATTGAATTAATATATTGTTTAAAGAATCATCATATTATAAAATATAAAACAATAGATGCTTTGATAATTTTTAATTATTATGTTTATTTTGTAATTATTATTCTTACAATAAATTAATGATTTAAACAATTATAGATTTTCCTAGTCCACACAAAATGTTTTACTCAATTTAGAAATATAAACCAAACTAATACTCTTATCATCTTATTTAATTAAACAGCTATACATTTTATATATTTTTCCAGGTTTTATTAGTGGTTCAACTGAATACGCCAGTCCAAATGAAGCTATTCATATGTTAATTGATAATTAAATTTTTTTTTTTCAACGTTCCTACTTTATTGTTACATCTCATTTTTATTTCAAAAAACAAAAGGAAGAAATACTTAATTTACAGCCATTTTTACCTATTATAGTACTATATTTTTTAATTTTTAAGCAATTATTAATGGAATAGGTGAATATTGAAATTATTCAACTTTTTAGTATATAAGACAAGATGGCAATAGTGTGAGTTGAGCATAATATTTGTTAGGAATTATTAAACACGTTTTAATAGGTATAACCAAAATTCTACCGATCTAAAAAACATGTAACTTACAAATATTATTATTGCTTATTTATAATCAAAACTTGCTTCTTAGTTCTTATTATTTAAAATATTTGATTAATTTTTATATGAAATTATGTACCAACCATTTTTAGTTAAACTTTATTTTGCTTTCTTGGTATCATTATTTCAATCATATATTATATTCATTAAAAAAAATAATTGAAGTTTTATATGTAATATTTTAAGATTTATTTGGATTTGATCTTTATTTTATTATTTTTATATTATCATGATTAATTGTCAATTATAAAATAATAACACTTTCTTTTATAAAATTAATCAATATTCACCCAAAAACGTATCAGTATGGCTTTGGTTTTTGTTTTTACATTATTTTTGTATACAATATTATATTTGTGTAACTGTTATAGTTTTGGTTTAATATGGTGCTGTAGATTAATTATGTAACTCGCTTGAAGCACAACATCTTTACAGGGATATTTAAAAGACAAACATCATTAATTTGTATTTATTTTTAATCAATTATTACCTCTGGCTAAATTAAGTAATTCATTTAGTGTAGTATTTAAGTCCTTAATGATATAATTTTGGTGATATGGAGTAATTTAAAGATTCTTTAAAATTGATTATAATCATCTGTATGAAAACCAATATTATTTATAATTTGTTTTGTTCTTTAGTATTAGTTGTATTATTAATATTTGTTTTTTATTAAAAATGATTACATCAAAATGTCATGTTTAAATGTACCTACATATTATGTATAGAACCCAGTACTTTATACAGCGTGTCCCGTTTTAAATGTACCACTAAATATCTCAGCCCGATAATCTTAGATTGAAATACGGTTTGCTGCAATAGCTAAGGGGTACTGAAGGACACATTTAAGGACAAATTTCAAATTTT